CCCCCACCACCCCCTTCTGGCCCGTGCGTGCGGCGCGTCCCGGAGGTCGTCGAGTTCTACCACTCGCTGATGCGGCGCGACTCCAAGAGGGACTGCGGGGGCGGCGCGTGCCCCGAGGCCGGCGGCACGGGCGGCTCCGGCGCCGCGAACGCCCGGGACATGATCGGCGAGATCGAGAACCGCTCCTCGCACCTCATCGCGGTAAGCCCAGCCCAAAATCCACCCAAAACCAAACCCACATTTCAAGCACATTTCCCTCCAGTTTTAATTTCTTTCAAGCACTATAATCATCGTCGTCGCGTTAGACAAAATCCGAAGCCGAAAAATGGTTTCACGAAAACCGACGCGGAGTAGTAGCTGACAAGTGGTGGTTAGATGGGTGGATCAAATCAATCAGTCGCCGGTGAGAGTGGTTGCTTTGCTTTGCACGCGGTGCGGAACAAGAACGCAGCACCAGAAAGCGATCCTCTTTTGGGGCGCGAACTGTGCACGCTCACAGGCACACGGCACACACCAACAGCTGAACAACATACAGATAAATACAGAGGTGAAAAGAGTGGCCTTTTCCATGCATGCTCATCTTTCTCGAGCTCGCCACCCCTCTCACGCACGCGTGTCTTTGTTTGTCTTGGATTTTTTGTGGTTTTTGGAGGAACTCGATAAGATAGGACAATTCGGTTGGGAACAAAAAAGGAGGAGGAAAAAACAATGGCGGCATTGGTTGCAGTGGATCCAGGGCATGGCAAAGGATCCAAAGTTGCTCCTTGTCAGACTGGCTCGTAGGGCCCACGGAGCACGCTGACCGGAGAGAGAGAGAGACTTTCTTCTTTTTTCAAAAATTATTACCGGTAGTGGCGGTGCTGGAGCGGTCAGCAGCGGCACAGTCTCGTGGACCTGTCTGTCTACTAGCCGTTGGAGCCGGGTGGTGCTACTGCTAGTATGCCTTGACCGTTGCTTGGCGCCATTTTCCTCTTGAGAGCCGCGCGAGGAGAGTTTGAAACTTTGAATTGAAACCAAAACATGTGCTACTGCTCGCTTAAAAGTTCTTGATCATGCTTTTTTAGACTGATCTGCCTCTTGATCATGCTTGGATTGATGGGAGTTATAAATAATTAAGGCTGACGGACTGTTTGGTGTGTGTGTGGGGTTGCAGATCAGGTCGGACGTGGAGAGGCAGGGCGACTTCATCCGCTTCCTCATCAAGGAGGTGGAGGGCGCCGCGTTCGCCGACATCGACGACGTCGTCACCTTCGTCAAGTGGCTCGACGTCGAGCTCTCACGCCTCGTACGTGCTAACCACCCTCCGAGTCCCAAGTTCAGCTATTTTTGTAAAGGGCTAGGTGACTGATGCATTTTCAATTCCAGGTGGATGAACGGGCAGTGCTCAAGCACTTCGACTGGCCGGAGCAGAAGGCGGACGCGCTCCGCGAGGCGGCGTTCGGCTACCGCGACCTCAAGAAGGTCGAGGCGGAGGCCGCGTCATTCTGCGACGATCCGCGGCAGCCCTGCGCTTCTGCTCTCAAGAAGATGCAGGCCCTCTTTGAGAAGTAAGCCGTTCTCTTCCTGTTCCTGTCATTCATCTTCTTCTACCTACGAGCAACTGGCCAGCTTCGGCTCTCTGCTTGCTCCTTGTGCTCATCATTCATGGTTGTCGGCAGGTTGGAGCATGGGGTGTACAGCCTGTCCCGTGTGCGCGACGGCGCCATGAACCGGTACCGCGGGTTCCAGATCCCATGGGAGTGGATGCAGGACACCGGAATTGTCAGTCAGGTAAATTCAGTTATCTAGTAGCACATGACATACAGGCAAACAGACCAATCATTGGAACAAGCATAATTTCTTGTTAGAACCTAGCCCCAGTATAGAATGATGCACTAGGTAGGAAGGTACCAATATAGATCAATCATTTGAATAATATTAGCTATATGGCACATGGTCTTGGCACCAAGAAGCTGCTGATTTTGGCGTATTGAGAATGCTATGGCTTGTGTCGGTGTTCGAATGTAGTGAATTTGTTTTTGCTTTTTGCATGAACTAGTGGCAAATAATGATAGTACCCCCTTCTGAAACTAAGACGCAAATCTGAACACACTGATCGTAATTGTGCTAGTTTTTTCTTTTACTTTATTTACAACCGCCAGAGGAAATTAAACAAAAGGCGAACAAATGGCATCATGCCATATAACTATTGGTCCTAGATACTACATAGTTCTTTATGCAGCAGATGGATTTTTAGTAGGATCGAATATTTTGAGTTGATCCTGGCTATACGCAAGTGTACCCACTACTAGGCTAGTATTCTCATTCATAAACTTTCAGAAAAAATATCCTTTGCATACCTGCTACATGTGCATTGTCTCCATTGAGATTCTGCTCTTAAACTAGGCAATGATCCTGTTCTGCAACTTTGGCTAGGAAAATGTTTATTTTCCTAGGTAGCTCACAACTGGTCTGTGAATTAACTGGATAAAAAGCTTTGTAAGCTGCGCATGAGTAGCAAGTGACAGTCACCACAAGTTTCTCTGAAAAAAATGGCATTCGAGTGACAAGTTGAGTTTTGATGCTGCAGATAAAAATGCAGTCAGTGAAACTAGCAAGGAAGTATCTGAGAAGGGTTTCCTCCGAGCTGGAGGCCACGCAGGGCGGCCCCGACGAAGAAGAGCTCATGCTCCAGGGAGTCCGGTTCGCCTTCAGAGTGCACCAGGTACACCCCATTTTTCTCATACGCTCACTCTATCCCCATACTTGTGCAAGGTATTCAAATTCAACCATGTCGTTTCACACAGTTCGCGGGCGGATTCGACGGCGACACGATGCGGGCCTTCCAGGAGATCAAGGAGAAGGCGAACGCGCTCCAGTCGCAGCGCGATCAGCAGCACCTGCAACAGCAAAGGCTCGCCGCTGGCAGAAGCTGAGACCAGACCTAAGAGTACCATATACTATTCGTTGTCAGAGGAAAGTTCATATGTTTCCTGTAACGAAAACACCTTCACACAATTTATCATCATCAATTAACACTTCTTTGTTCTCACTGAAGTTTTCCAGAGTCTGTGTGTTTGCTATAACTCGTGAACACCGGCGAAAGGGCGGTCCTGCGTAGATGATATGTACTCCCACCGTTTCTAAATATATAGTCTTTTTAGATATTCTAATATGGACTACATAAGGAGCAGAATGAGTGAATGTACGCTCTAAAATACGTGTATATACATTCGTATGTACTGCATAAAAAAAATCTTTAAAAAGACTTGTATTTAGGAACAATCTCTAAAAAGACTTATATTTAGGAACGGAGGGAGTAGCTATCTGAATTTACACGCTAACATGAAAATCAGTGGCAAATTTTGACAAACTAGAAAGAAACACACAAGGAGAACTGAGCACTTCGCACATTGTTCAGCAAGGCAAGCTCTTGGAGCTGGAGCTGGCCACCAGCTGCTTAGCGTTGGTCATGTCCACGGACGCCGTGGCTCGCCGCATGATGGACCTCATGTTCATGTCCAGGCTCTGTTTCACTATCCTGTCCACGGCGCTCCGGCATGCCTTCGTCCCGTCGTTGCCATGGCACGGCGTTGGCGCCGCGGCTTCCATGCGCGGGCCGGAGTGCGCCCTGATCCGGTCCTGCCCGTCGTCCTTGAACCACTGCAGGATCTTGGCCGCCCTGCTCCGCGCGAGGGGGCTCCCGAGCAGCGACACCTCGAGGAGCGCCTGCACGGCGCCGAGCTGGCGCATCCGCCGCAGCAGCGCCCGGCCGCCACCGCCGCCGCCGCCGTGCGCGAGCGCCATGGCCAGGTACGTCGCGTGCTCCTGGCACCCCGCGCTCTCGTGCCGCGCCATGGCCTCCACCAGCGCCCTCGGCGCCTCCTCGTCCTCCGCCATCTCCCGCCTCCCCGCCGCGCTCGCCGCCGCCACGTCTGCCAGGACGCCCAGCGCCGCCTCCGCTATCGCCTCGGTACGCTCCAGCAGGGAGGGCGCCAGGAGCGCGCGCACGGCGCCGCTGGTGACCACGGCCCGGACGTGCTCGAGCTTGGCGGAGAGGTTGCGGAGCGCGGCCAGGCACGCCAGCCTCGTGTCGGCCGGGACGTCGGTGGCGGTGAGCGTGGCGACGAGGAACGGGAGGAGGTCGGCCGTGGAGAGCGGGAAGTCGGTGTTGGCCAGCGAGGAGACGGAGAGGAGGAGGAGCGCGAGGTCGTGGCTTGTTGACAGGTCTATGAGCTTCGGCAGCTTCTTCAGCAGGCCGGCCTTCACTATGTGCACCTTGTTTCTGAAACCAAAAGATGACAGTAACATGCTTCTTCAGAGGATCAACCACACGACAATCACACATCAAAAGTACATCTACTGTAAAAAAAAACACTCTCATATTATGAGACAGAGGGAGTAATACTGAAAAAGAGATTAATAGTTCTAGCATCTGTTGAGCACAAGATCTCTTATGGTGTGGTTAGATTTGTTTTTTAAGAAATGTTGATGGAAAAAATACGAGGAAGAAGAACTGACTGAGAAATGTGGGAATGGGATTATGTACCAAACACTAGTTGGAGCAAGCAAATTACTAGCTACTCCTTCTGTTTCTAAACTGAACTACCAAAATGTCATATACTCCCTCCGTTCCTAAATATAAGTCTTTGGAGAGATTCTACTATGGATTACATACAAAGCAAAATGAATGAATCTATACTTTAAAATGCATCTAGATACATCCGTATGTGGTTCATAGTGAAATCTCTACAAAGACTTATATTTAGGAATGGAGGAAGTATTTAGGACCGGAGGGAGTAGATGGGTTCTGCGTGCATAGACTCTTATGGTGTTCATGCACAGCTGGGATTAGTTAGGCAGGCGACTTGGCGCCATGGTTTTGAATTTCGGTTTCAAAAAGTTTTAGTTCCAACGATTTCGGTCAAGGACTGGAACAACAGTTTTTCTTGAATTTTTGTGCACAGCTGAAATGGATATCATATTATGACAGAAAGATAGCCTAAAATTATTAAAATTCTGTGAATTTGATCGCCATATCGCTGAAAGTGAAAACCCTTGTCGATCACTGTCGTATCGTGCACTTGAGTCTCACCACTCAACTCAAGCACGATGTTTGTGTTTGTGGGGGGCATGGATGATGTAGGTGCAAAACGCATGAAGGTCTCCATCATCATAACATCCACTTCTTCTGGCCTCTGCTTGACATATCTTATCCAAACGGAGCACATGGAAAACGGAGCACATAAAAGTTTTAGGTACGATTACCAAGGGAAAGAAGAGAAAATGGAAAATGAATAGCACTTCATACTATAGTAGATTGTTGGCACAGTTTGGTATGTAGCGTCACAAGTCAATTTGCAGCAACCATGCTGCCAAACATTGTACGTCTGGCCTGCCTAATCATCATCCAATGAACTACTCTAAAAAATGAATTATTGTATGCGGAGTCGGGATAGGGTGCTGACATTTCCTCTCAAAGTCAAACATATGATTCTCTGCAACTAATCTGACACTAGTCTCCAAGAAGAAGAGCCAAAGGTTAGCACGGGCTCCTCGCCTAATATGCAAGGAAAATGCTGTGCATGGTGACACTGACCGCAGAGCATGTGAAAAAACTGTCATTGTCAAGGCTGGGTTAGTGCTTTCCGTGGAATTATACTCGAAGGTGGCAAAGAAGATCACATGTGAGGAAACTGTGTTCGTGTCGCGGGGCATGCAAGGACGGCCATGGTACACTGCTCGATCGGTTGATTTCTTGCTAATTCACCGGACGATTTGCACGGGGAAGATCATGGGGCAGGGGATCGATCGTAGCATAGTGGACATGACATGGCAGATAACACGGCGAGAGTTCGCGGCGGTGGCGGTGAGCTGGGAGGCAGTGACTGACTGACCTGTGGGTTCCTCTGGCGAGCTCGAGCAGCGCCCGCGCGGCGGCCAACCTTGCGCCGGCGCCGGCGCCTCCGTCGGCGAGCATGGACACGAGCGGCGGCACGACGCCGAGCTCCGGGAGCGCGCGCTTGGTGCGCTCGTCCGACCGCGCCAGCCTGCCGGCCTCCCCGGCCGCCTCCGCCCTCTCCTCCTCCGAGGCCGCGCCCAGGCTCAGCTGCCTCACCGCCCTCCTCATCGTCGCCCCGTCGCCGTCTCCTCCGGTCGTCGCCCCCATCTTCCACGTGAGGTGCACCAGAGTTCTTGAGGGTACGTGTTTTCTGGCGGGGGAAGAAGAAATGGAAGAAAGTTGGGCTGGGTTCGGCCGACGTGTAGAGCAGAGCACCTGGCTGGAGATGGTTTGGGCATGCACGGTAGCACGAAAAGGCTGGTTGATTATAAGCGGGGCTGCGCCGCCATGACCGGCCGCACGCACAGCTACCGTCGCGCCGGGGGGTGGTACGTGGCCGTGCGCTCCGGCGGCCGATCCACTGTAGTAGATTATGATGCGGTGCACCGGAACATTGGGTAGTACACTCGTTAAACCAACCATGCGTTACCTGAACTTAGGCCGACCACAATTACAAACAAAATGGTAGCACTGGTTCCTCTTTTTTCGGCTCAACCGGCTCCAAGCTTGTGTACGTGTGTCATTCATAACGTGGCCGAACTCGATGGCCTCCTGCGTACTAGGCCAGCTGTTTCCTTTACGGAGGAAATCAAGTTCAACTCAAATGCAACCATCCTACACTACTATCTACCACTCCCTCCTCTGAAAATATTTGTCTTAAAAATGGATGCATCTAGACTTAATTTTAGTTATAGATACATCAATTTATCCATTTTTAGGACAAGTATTTTCGGACGGGGAGAATAGTATAGTACTCAATTTGATGTTCTGTTATCTTTTCAGTTTTGTCATATCGCCCTTATGTGACTTGTACTTTAATTTTTATAATATGAATTAGACACGTATTATCATGAATAAAAAATCATCCTTCAATTCAATTCAAGATTGATTGAACCAGCTGATAAACGAATACATAAAAAAGCTCGAGAAATCATCGCACGCGTGATATGAAAAAAGAAAGAGTTAAGGTGACGGCGTGACTCTACGTACGTATGTACGTACGTGGAGAAACACAATGTATAGTGCACGTCAACTTCTCATCGACGTCAGGTCAGACCCATACCTCGATCTAGCTTGAGGATGCATGATGGCCACTGATTCGAGAAAGAAAACGCTCTGGTACGTGGACGTGGTGGTGATCGCATCGTGGCAAGGTAGGGCGGCTCAGTCGGTGGAGCATTAACCCAGCTAGCGAGCGTACGCGAGCCAGCTTGATTAGTGGAGTGCTTGGACTAAGCTCCCGTATCCTGTTATTTTTACTTTTATTTACTATGCGTAGTGTGCTTTGCGAGCATGTGTTGGACGATTTTACCAATGGATAACCGTACGGGCATGTGCATGCTTTATTTTCTATTTAGCAGTTTTCTTTTCATATTTTTACTCAATTTAATTAGGATATGGCTAGATGTCAGTTGACTGGGACTTGTCAAGTGACACACCATATAAAAAAGAAGCAAGAAAAAAATTAAAAGAAATCTTTGCACGGATCTTCACGTAAGATCACACGAATATAGCATCGAGTAAGACTTCGTGAAGTCTCCTGATTTAATTAAACTTGTGTCACTATTTAACTCTTAATTTTTTTAGGCGCTCTCACTGGTCGGACCCACTTATTCGTGCTGAATTGGCAATGCTAGATAGATGGTTTTATTTGGCTAACTGGTTTACTATTTGGTACGTTTCGGCTTTCAACGTTGTTGTTGGCTTGTTCGTCAAGGCTATCGTAGGAACTTCACAGGACCGGTTCCTTGCCGCTCCAGCGGAGTGCCGCCACCACGCAGTCTCTTCTAACCACTGATCTCTTCACCTTCTCTGAAAACCCTGACAACTCCGCACCAATGTGTCCTCCTCCCCGGTCATCGTATTTGTCGAGCCAACAGAGACATCACCACTAATGAAGTCACAGCTATCGCCCACGAAGGGAAAGGGGAGGGCGGTTTTTGTCGTGATAGCGATGGCAACAACGACCATCCCTTCACTGGAGTAGCAGAGGCGAGACAACACGGAGGATAAGTGGGACCGTGGTCCGTGGAGTCAGGATGCTCCCACAGCTGAAGTGCATGAATGGTGTTAGGCTCAATGAGATCGGGATGGTACCCTTGATGGAATCACCACCTCCTTTCCACTATATGAGCAATTCAGGGAAGCTCTAGGAGAACGATTGATCCAGTCATCGTTGTAAATTTTGAACAATGCCATCTGTCGATAGCAAACGCGTGAGAGATTCGGATGATGCACATGGTTATAATTTACCTAGGTTCAGGCCCTCGGATTGAGGTAAGACCCTACTTCCTGCTTGTCTGTAGTGCGAACCTCACCTCGTATGACAACTAGGGTTTTGTATTTAAAAGGTGGTTGATTGTAGACCGTCTAGGGGTTGAAGCCTTAGATGTCTTGCTAGAATAAAGTGTCTATTTGAGGAGGGGGGTGGGGGGAGTCCCAGTCGGGCCTTACGATAATCCTACACTTACGAATAGCTATGTAAGGTTTTACGTAACCTTCCTTGAATGATTCTCTCGCCCCCCTGATTCTAACTGTGGTGGGCCCCTCCTTCCTCTAATCCCAATCATAGATTGACATGTGACTAATCACGTAAGATTACGTTAAACTTCTTCGTAAGTGTAGCATTACCCCGGGCCTTATATAGGTGAATGAGACAGGGTTACAAGTCATGAGTGGGTCGAAGAGTTGTCTTGTGCCCGCGTTTGGTAGAAATCAGGGACAATTAGTACATGTCATATACGAACGGTTCCTAGCGTAATACGAAAAGGAATCTTTGTCTTCTCCCCCAAGGTGGTGGTGTGCTCTGGATTGTCGGTAGATGTAGAGCTGTGGGCTTGGGCCACCCTATCGTTGTTGGGCCACCTCTGACCTACATAGCTACACCCAGAGGCATGGCACTGTCACCCGATTTAGGCATGCACATGGACACTCCAGGATGAGTAGGTGGCCACGACTATAGATCGACACATTTTCCCGGGTCAAGAGCTTATATTACTCAAATAGATCGACACATAAATCACCTTAATTTGCCAGAATGCAACATACATGCTCTTGCGTACCCACATACCAAAGTCAATTAATCATTTCCGTTTGGGGCAACCCAAGAGGAAACCCTAGTCGGCCCTCGCAAGCCTTCCCCAACCCTCCACCCCCACCTCTGATGTCGTCAGAGGGCGTTGCCGGACAAAGCCCATGTGGAGTCGGCGGGGCCAGTTTTCTCTTTCTCTTGCTCCAGATGGGGTGGAGC